AGCACAGGCGATGGTGAGCTCAATGCCCCATATGAGACACGACAGCTATGAGTAGCAGAATCTGACCTGTACAATGCAGAGAGTATTGTTGCAGGTAGAGGATGACAGCCGAATAGTCTTTTCCCTGCAGGGCTGTATAAAAATTCCCAAGAATGACCTATATAACAGCCGCCTCTCTGACGGTTGATGTTATCGAAGGTCACACTTTGAACATGAACCTGCAAGTCAATCCTGGGAGGAATGGAAGGAATTCTACATATCATTCTTACTGCGCTCATTAGATGCACAAAAGATAAAAGAAAGCTGTAACGTGTGGAAACCGAATTCCAATGAGACCAACACAGCAGCACTGAGAGATCCATGGCTCCAGGCACATCGTCCTCTACCGGCCCAGCACAATAATGCCCCTGTGAATGCACTTTTCTTAGGAATTTACTGTGTAGCTCTTGTACAAGAGCCAACATCAAGACTATAGAACAATAGCACGAGAGTAAAATTAAACTTTATTGTATCTTCAGGGCTTTCATGAACAAAAGCTTTAGTCATGAGAAGATAACTGTCAACATGATCAAAGTGAAGCTGAATATAACAGTACAAACTATTATATCTTAGCACACCGCATGCGGGACCTTGTCATTGTGCACCAGCGGGAGGCGCTGTTTGCAGACTGATGAACGGAGTGATTGCACAGTTCGGTCATGATGTCATCTGGCCAGTAGAGAGGCAGCACAGGACATGGAGTGCATGGGGGTAAATGACCCCTGAACACCAAGAGTGGAAAGCTAGTCCTCCCAGTGACACCAACAAAGGGATGTTACACTTCCCGGTGACACCAACTATAGGACACTAGGTGGCACCAACATTGGGGCACTATTCCTCCCACTGACACCAACAATGGGGCACAATTTCTACTGGTCACAGCAACTATGGGACACTATTCCTCCCGCTTAGATCAATGAAGGGGTACAATTCGTCCCAGTTACACCAATAATGGGGTACTATACTTACTGCTGACACCAACATTGGAGCTCTATTCCTCCCACTGACACCAATGAAGGAGCACTATTTCTAACATTGACACCAACAATGTGGCACGATTACTACTGGTGACACCAGTATTGGGACACTATTCCTCCCACTGACACCAATGATGAGGCTCTATTCCTACTGGTGATACCAAAGATGGGGCACTATTCCTCCCACAGACACCAATGATGGGGCTCTATTCCTACTGGTGACACCAATGATGGGGCTCTATTCCTACTGGTGACACCAAATATGGGGCACTATTCCTCCCACTGACACCAACAATTAGGCACTATTCCTCCCACTGACACCAATGATGAGGCTCTATTCCTACTGGTGACACCAATGATGAGGCTCTATTCCTACTGGTGATACCAAAGATGGGGCACTATTCCTCCCACTGACACAATTGATGAGGCTCTATTCTTACTGGTGACACCAATGATGGGGCTCTATTCCTACTGGTGACACCAATGATGGGGCTCTAATCCTACTGGTGATACCAAAGATGGGGCACTATTCCTCCCACTGACACCAATGATGAGGCTCTATTCCTACTGGTGACACCAAATATGGGGCACTATTCCTCCCACTGACACCAACAATGGGGCACTATTCCTCCCACTGACACCAACAATGGGGCACCTTTCCTATTGGTGACAGTAACAGTGGGGCACTATTCCTCCCACTGATACTAATGATGGAACATTATTCCTCCCAATCACACAACCCCTCAAGCCAACAAATGAAAAATCAGTTTTGCATGGGGTGGCCCTTTAACAACCAGATCACCGTACATGCAGGCTTTATCCCATCCATAAGACTCACCTCGGTCTCCCGAAGGCGGGATTCCAGGGCTGATCTGGGGCCCTGAGTGTTGTCATTCTCCTTGAGCCTCACGTGAATCTCTTTCATCCAGGCTTCGGCCTTCTCCAGACACGTCTCAAACTCATCCTGGGGCAACTGAGTCATCTCATGAGGTAACACTACAAAATAAAGGCAACAAATGCATTACATCACATAGCTGAGCTTCTAAAAACCCTCCAGGTGCCAATATTCTGCATGCATTCATTTTAATTACCAAATATGGGGCACTATTCCTCCCACTGACACCAACAATGGGGCACTATTCCTCCCACTGACACCAACAATGGGGCACCTTTCCTATTGGTGACAGTAACAGTGGGGCACTATTCCTCCCACTGATACTAATGATGGAACATTATTCCTCCCAATCACACAACCCCTCAAGCCAACAAATGAAAAATCAGTTTTGCATGGGGTGGCCCTTTAACAACCAGATCACCGTACATGCAGGCTTTATCCCATCCATAAGACTCACCTCGGTCTCCCGAAGGCGGGATTCCAGGGCTGATCTGGGGCCCTGAGTGTTGTCATTCTCCTTGAGCCTCACGTGAATCTCTTTCATCCAGGCTTCGGCCTTCTCCAGACACGTCTCAAACTCATCCTGGGGCAACTGAGTCATCTCATGAGGTAACACTACAAAATAAAGGCAACAAATGCATTACATCACATAGCTGAGCTTCTAAAAACCCTCCAGGTGCCAATATTCTGCATGCATTCATTTTAATTCATCTCTTTAAAAATAACCTGCTGGGAAGAAGCCGCAACAATTGTACAAAAAGCATTTTTCACACTCTGCTTAGCCCTGGGAAATCCCACTAACTCAAATCACTGGGGTAGAGATGTTAAAATGGCTTTATATGTGGAAGGCAGATGATGTTGAAGGTCCCCAACTCTGTTCAGGGATGGTTGTTCAAGTGTGCCATGTGCACCTAACTGTCCTCAATGGAATATCCCTTTCCCCTAAGGTGTAGGAAGACTGTTGAACCTTAACCTGTAGAATTGAACCTCCTATGGTGGGTCATTTGTTTCCTATGGTGGGTCATTTGTTGGTTGAAAAGTTCTCTCAACTACCTCTTCTGCCTTGACACATTCCATGGCGGACGGATTTAGGTGACTGGGCCACCTGTGTGGATATAAATGGTGGGGGATGTGCCTACACTCATTGTAATATGAAGAAGTATCTTGAAGAAGCTATGAAACATCTTCAGCATTAGAGAAAAGGTCCGGTTGCATGCGACCAACTACTTAGCTATACTATGACCTGGACACATGAGAACCTTCACAGACACATTGTCAATCTTTTTTGGGTGAACACCAGGAAACTGGCGCAGGAACTGAAGAAGTATCTTGGAGGAGCTAAGAAACGTCTTGGAATCACAGACCAGGGCCAGGTGAAAGTGACCAACTACTACTATCTATACCATGACCTGGACATGAGAACCTTCATATACACATTGTAAACCATTTTTGGGTGTACACCATAATTCTGGTGCAGGAACTGAAGAAGTATCTTGGAGGGGCTACAAAACATCTTCAACATTACAGAACAAGTCCAGGTTATTGTGACCAACTACTACTAGCTCCACCATGACCTGGATACATGAGAACCTTCACAGACACATTGTCAATCTTTTTTGGGTGAACACCATGAAACTGGCACAGGAACTGAAGAAGTATATTGGAAGAGCTACGAAACGTCTTCAACATATGAGAACAAGTCCAGGTGAATGTGACCAATGACCACTATTTATACCATGACTTGAATACACGAGAACCTTCACACACACAAGATCCAGATTCTTCTTCATTCCTCCAGACATATGAAGAGTTGTTCAGTTTACTGAGAATCCGCCGTCACTATTTATGGACAACATTCTCCTCCACATGTTGTATGTTGGCTCTCTCACCCTATAATTCGCTCCCTGTGACTTATCTCATTCGACAGCCCAGAAGAAGTTGTAATAAGGTTTTCTCTCCGCCTTGCTGTCCTCAGCTCACAAAATGACTCAGAGCCGAATTCAAACTATAACAAGAGTCAAATAACGGAAAAATGCGCCCTGGAATGTAAACGCTGGAGAGGCGGCCACAACATAGCGAGGGATCAGCGAGGCTCCGAGGAATCTGATTTTTATGGCACGTGTGCCAGGATTTCCCTTGCAGTGCATTCCCGGAGCAGCAGGATCTGCCTTGAAGGCAAACAGCTAAATACACACCAAAGGATTTGTAGTTCTGTGCATCCAGTTCTGAGATTTAGGCAGCTCTGTCACACAGCACAGTGCAGGAGGCCTGATTTTTCTCACTGTAGTTTAGTAACACTTACAGGTTTCAGCTTGCTCATTGATAGCACACGTGCACCACAGCACTGCTGATTGACTCCTTGTGCTGCTTCTCCCTCTCCCAGCCTGAGCTCTGCCGGGAAATACAATTTACATTTAAAGAGCTGCATTCATTTGTGTCTTTCATATCTGCCTCGAGTTTAGCTTTATAGGAGAACTCTGCTCTGTGTATCTAATAAGATCACATACACTGACCCCATTGTCAAACTACAACACTTTTCGCAAACCCCCTTTCCTCTAAGTATCATGCAAATGTGATGACACATATTTTAATATTCTGGCTCCCATGATGCAATTGTTTTTCTCTCCCTCCTCGTGGTGTCAATCAAGCTCAGGGCAGAAGGGGGGACGCACACAGTTTTCGAGGGTGTTGAGCTGCCCTTCTTTAGTAGCGAGAGGAAGGGGAAGGGTTATTCGGTTATATTTCGGTTTTCGGTGGTTGGTCTTAAAGCCGCACCGCACTCTTTTAATCAGATCGGAGATTAATGTCTATTATTTTCCAGGAAGCCAGCAAATCAAACTGCCCCATTGGGACTCTGCGGACGTCTCTGCCAGTAGAACGTCCTCCTGCCAACTCCTCGGCTGGCGCTGTCTGCAGTTTCCAGACATTCTTCCTATTCCACCAATTGGTGCGCGTTCTCCGCCACGGGGGCCTCTGTAAATGTTAAATCCCCCCCCCT